GTCCAGTCCCAGGAAGCTTCCAGTAGGCCCCGGTAGCCTGAGGCCCAGCACGATCGAGAACAGGCCTGGGGCCTGCGGTAGTTGCATGTGCCCAATTGCCTTTGGCATGTGTTTGGCCCAGTATCCGTATCCAGCCCAGGGCCTGCTTTCCATTCATTCACACAGGCGGCCCAGGGCCTGGGTTTCCTCAACCAACTGGCGCTGTGCAACTGCCTGAATTTCCTTAGTTGCGCAGTGGCCGAAAAAGGGCCCTGAGGGCCTCGTCGAGCCTGCCTTCACTTAAGGCAGCCGACTGGCTCCAAATGGGGGCTGATTGGGGCTCATAGAGGCACTGGCAACTTTTTGAAAAATTTCGATTTGCAAATCTCACCTTCGAATTCTTCCAAAATTTTGTTCCACCCATATTCTCGAATTAATTTTGAATAAATAAAATCCGAGTCGGAATAAATTTATTCAAAAGTAATTCCTGCCCCCCCCCCCCCACCCCACCCCATTTTATTCCCTTTTCTTTTTGAAATCTTGGCAATTATCTTTATTTTAAAAGGGCCTTTACCCGATTCAGACCCTGTTTGACGAATGCAGCATAGTGGGGTCACTCGCCCAGAGCCCAATTCGTGGAAGCAGATCAAAGGACATGTTTTCTGGGTCAAAAGTCGCATCCTAGCCAAGTAAAAGTCAATGTCAAAGGTCACAGTTGTGCCCCTGGACGAATAGTTGCAACATTTAGATATGGGAGTCATATCTGTTCATCCAGGGGGTGTGCAAGTCATGTCTGTTCATGAAGGAGATGTGTCTGTACGTGCAGTATGTGTGTCTGTTCGTGCAGTATGTGTGTCTGTTCGTGCAGAATGTGTGTCTGTTCGAGCAGTAGGTGTGCCTATTCAAAAGAAGTCAAAAGGTTAAATCCCAGTCACGAATTAAGTCAGAGGGAGAGTCCAGATACAGGCCCCAAGTCCAAAATTCAGGCCTGAAGGCCGCCGCAGCAGCAGACCCTGAAGGAAAAGGTACTGGGACACACTCCACAGAGGCTGGGACTGGGACAGGACCCAAGACAGGCTGAATTCAGACCTCGCAAGGGGAACACAGCACTATAAAGGACGAGGCAGCCTCCCCACCAGGCAGATTTCCCATGGGCATTGATGTGTGGAAGTGCTGAGGCACTTGTGCGCTGTAGTGCAGGGAGGAGCGCTGGCAGAAGAAGCTGCGCCAGAAGGGAGATGAGCTGGGCGCTGGCTGCAGGGAAGCCATGGCTGCGCCAGCCTGAGTTAGTAGAAGTAGTAGAGGGGTTAGTAGTAGGATAACAGTGAGAGGTATTCAGAGTAGATTCTCGTAGAAAAGGAGTGTGCATGCATAGTGAGAGAAGGGAACCACGACAGGGATCTTGAGAGAGAAGATAGAGAGAGAGAGAAGACAGGTTACGGAATGGGATATGGTGGATACTTACCTGTTTGTGCCATACTTGTGATTTGAAGGGTGACGCTGGCTGAGCCAGGTCTTAAGCTGATGAATGAGGGAAGAAGACTTGCATTTTGTTGGCGCTGAACTTCTGAACTCGAGATACTCTTGTATAATGTGAATTTGATAATAAGAGCTGCGCTATCTGGTTCCTATCTCATCTCGACTTTGGCTTTGTGAGAGGCTATCCTATCTGTGTGATGACGAATGTGCATGCAAATTGAACGCTCCAGCAAGCTGTGAACAGTCAGGTTCCTTGCAATTTGGTATCGGAGCTTGACTCGCTGCACTCACTGATTCGCTGGCATGAGAAATGCCGGCGAGGGAGACGTGCTGGCTTGAAGATGTCGGCTATGGTGGTGTAAGGGAGAGGTGCATTGGGATAGGGGAGAGAGGTAGGCCGAAGGGGAAGGGGCTAAGGAGAAGTACTTACCTCGCATGGAGCTTTGGAGTGCGGAGCGACGAGGAGTCTTCATCAATGGCAGCTGCAAAAGAGAGAAGAATCCCTCATCCCCTTACCTGGCTGTATGTGTGTGTGTTGTACCTCTACCTCTCCTCTCTGGTGGTCACTGCTGCTGCTGTCAGGTCGAGTCACCTGGTGTACAGTCTAGGGTCGAAGGGTCTGGTCAGGTCAGAGTAAGAGTGGTCAGAGTCCTTGTCCTTCTTCCCTCTGGTCTGACAGCTGCGCAATAGTAAAGATAGGAGTACGCTGGGGGGTTGTGGCCGACAGCCACGCCAGTTTGCACGCAGGGTATAAGGCATAATCAACTGGGCAGAGATAAGTTGTGTTCGAAGTATTGTCCCAGCATCTGACACAGTAAACACTCCAGCACCTCCCTACGCATGAGGACAGACAACCAGGGTTAGATAAAAGAAAAAGAAACATTCACAACCAGACAACAGTTACAACAAACCAGGTGGACTCTTGACTAGGATCAAGTGTAGTATTTGTTCTGATCAGTTTGATATCTGAAGTTGAAGACCGACAGCAACTTAAAAAAAAAAAAGGAAAAAGGTTTATTGAATATTAAAGTTTCAAAAGTTCTGAAATTCGTTATTGTTTTTTTGCCTTTTTTTTAAAGGCTAATTCTTTAAGCCCAACCAATTCAATTACCTGTCAAATCTGGACAGGACGGCCTTTCAGGCCATTTTTTATTGTCATTATAGTATTACGGGGAACCCTGTAGCAGCCACATCCGTGCTCAAGCCTCCAACGAGGGAGCATGCGGGAGCTGCACCCACCAGCAGGTGCGATACCTGCTACAGCAGGTGGGCGATACTGGCCAGGGGTCAACTGGTAGCATCAGGACCGAGCTTCTTCGATGGGCCAGTCACTGTGCCTCCCCTCCGGTCCCCTCCCCCTATGAACATCAGCAGTCTCTGCTCAATGCCACTCGGGGGGACCAACGGCATATCTCTAGGTGGCGGGCGCCAAGCTTGCCCAGGAAGGTACATGAGGCCAATGGGGATTGAACCCAAGACCTCCTGAATGCCACTTGCGTGCCTTACCAACTGAGCTAGGCCGCTGGATAAATTCGTTATTGTTAAAGCAGTGGCATCCAGAGTCTAAAAAAAAAAACAGAATCATCCCATCCACGACAGATTAGCCTAAGGATAACTATTGGGAGTCTTACCTGGTGGGACTAGCGGAGGGTTTCCTGTGCTAAGTTCCATCATGGACGACTACCCGATGCAAGGGTTGTTGGCCTTTTCTGTTCTGATGGGTCCCTTGTTCAGAGTTTTCTTTCCCCAGGGCTTCGGGAGAGTACGCACCTCCTGTATGATGTTGAGATCAGGAGGTACAAAGCCAGGGCCTACACCTGCAGAGCAGGCTGAAGTGGATCGCCGTCAGGCAGAAAAGGAAAAAGAAAAAGAAGAAAGGAAAAGACAGAAAGAAGAAGTAAAGACGAAAATGCAGATGCAAGAAGAAAGAATGAAGAAGGAGATGAAAGAAAGAAAGAGCTGAAAGAAGAACTGCAGACAATTGAAGAAGAAGATGAACCTGCCAATGACAGGCTCATCAGGCGGCGGACGAAAAGAGGTGAGACAAGCCAGACAGGTGGTGAACTTGATGTCAAACCGCTGGACTGGTACGACCAATATCCAGCGATAGGATTGAGGAAACAGATGAGGAGAGAGATATGTTCGTTGCGAAGCTGGCATGTATCAAAGATCAAAAGGAAAAAGAACTCTTGCTAGAGGAAAAGCGTGCAGAATTGCATATGAGAATGTTAGCAGCGAAGCGGCAGGAGCTTGATGAAAGAAAAAGGCTGCATGTAGAGGGAACGAGGTTGGATAAAGAATTACAAGATCAGAAAGAGAAACAAGCTGCAACAAAAGAGAAATTAGCCCTCTTGACAGAAACAGTCTTACATACGAAGCAGGAGTTGGAAGCGATGAATAGAACTTTGCAAAAGGTTGAAACCCACCAATATGAGTTTGAAGGAGTTTGGAACACCTTTCTGCAGAAGTCTGCCAGAGATGTTGATCAACACATTCAATTGTACATTCAGAAACTCGATAATCACATCRCACAAACCTTTACTCCCGCCGTAATTAAGAAGATAATCCATGGCAGCGGCGAAGGAGGAGGAGGATGCGGTGATAGAGACGGAGATGGAGGAGATGGTGATAGAAAAGGTAAGGGAGTGTTGTGAGACGATAAAGACACTGATGTCATAAAAATAAAGGTTAAGGTGCCGTGGACTTACACCGGCAAGAAAGAGGAGAGCGTCCTGAATTGGATTGCAACCGTAGAGTCATATGTATACGGTCAGCGCATCCCGTATTGGGATAGAGTTTTGATGGCCACCTCGTGCATGGCCGGCGATGCGATGAGCTTCACCATATCGTTGCAAAAAGAAGCTAACTGCGATACTATGATTGCATACTCACAACAAACTAGAATCGAAGATTTCTTTAAGGCTATTAGTGAAAGATTTGAAGATACAAATCTGGCTCGTCAAACAGAGATGCTAATCTTAAACATTGCAGATCGAAAATGGAAGAGTGCGTCTGCACTCAAAGCAACGATGGATGAACACTTACAATGTGTTGAACATGGTCTTACTCCCGCTCAAATCGTCAACAACTTCGCTAGGGCACTTCCTGACCCTCTCCGTACTCAGTTATATCCCCGCACAAAGGAAGAGGGGATGACATACGAGAAGTTCAGCAAGATCGCTATAGATCATGCTGGCTTCTTAGCCGAGGCTAATTATTGCCATTATTGGAAAGATCTGCAAGCGGGGAAGAAATGGCGAAACTGCACCATCTTAGGGAATATACCTCGGAAAGACAATCTCCTTCTTACTTTTGAAGAAGGGGGTGTTGAAACTCTTTCCTATGACCAAATAGATTATGGTCTGGAGGGAGGACCCAACGGCACGGTAGTTCAGGAGGGGGACTACGCGGCCGTTGCAGCCCACGGGGGAGGGTGACGAGGAAGAGGAGGCCGCGGACGAGGTGGAAGAGGACCCCGTACCCAGAGGGGTGGTGGCGAAGGTAGCTACTACGTGGGTGGAAGGGGCAATGGTCCCTCGCAAGGTGGCCATGGTTCGTATTCTACCTGGGGAAGAGGAAAATGCGCGTGGTATGGTACTTGTGACAAACCATATCCACCACATCCAGGCTTGCCCGAAGGGGAGCCTTGGAAGAAACTGGGAATCACTGAGAAAGTTTGGCAGGAAAGAAAAGTCGCTGATCAGTGCCTCAAATGTGGTGACCCCAACCACGTTGTTCCTTATTGCCCAGACTATAAGATACTAAAAGGGAACAACCAGTAGAGGTCTCAGTTTACGGGAACTTCGGATGTAGAAAGAAAGACATCCTCCCATCCAAAGGTTTCACTGGCAGAAACTGAAGAGGAAGACAATCCCCACCTAGTTAACTGTCCAGAGATAGTGAGTGTGTGTACCTCTCTAGGTGGATCCCTCGTTGGCATGGGTGATGAGTTGGCCGCTCGTCGCCAAGCTTGGAATGAGATGAAAAAATGAATAGGAAAGTTAATAATTGCAGATCTTGAAGTGAATAAAGTTAGAGTCGGGGGAATGATAAATAATGGATCAACTCGCAGCTATATAAGTAAGAAAGGGTTAAAGAAGTTGGATCTAGGGCTGAAGGTTAAGCAGTTAGATGAGCCCGTAATGAGTAAGTTAGCTAATAGTACTATAACCATAATGGATAGGTATGTTGAAGGGGTCAGGATATACTTCCGGCTCGAAGCAGAGGGGAAGGTGGAACACGTTCTCCACTCTCTGACTCTCTTGGTGGAAGATGATCTCCCTTTTGACATTCTTTTAGGTATGGATTGGGGTGAAGCTGCAGACGCGGACATAAAGTTGAGGGACCATGAGTGTTGGCTTCCAAGTTCGCAATGTGGGAAAAAGAAAATCCGCCTATATCATGAATCAGGAAAGGAGAGCAGCTTAGCTCACTGTTGTATGAGTGCCCCTGCGTTCGCCCGCCATGTAAGAAAGTATAAGTGCATATGTGCGCCCAGTTAAGGAGGGAGAAGTCAAAGAAGAGGCTAACCCCCCCGAAGTTGAAAAGATTCTGAAAGAATTTGCAGATGTGGCAGAAACCCCAAGCGGTGTAGTTGAAAGACTTTTGAAACATCGCATTGATATTGTTCCAGGAAGTCACATTCCTAAGGGGCCTATCTATAGGATGTCACCAAAAGAGTTCGATGAACTGCGAACCCAACTGGATGAATTGCTGGGAAAGGGGTGGATAAGACCTAGCTCCTCACCCTATGGTGCGCCTGTGCTATTCGTACCGAAGAAAGACGGCGGGGTACGCATGTGTATAGATTATAGAAGACTTAATGAAATCACTGTAAAGAATGTTGAGCCATTACCGAGGAATTGACGATCTTTTGGATAGAGTTCAGGGTTGCAAGTACTTCATTAAGATTGATTTGAAGTCTGGCTACCATAAGATTGAGGTAGAGCCAGAGGACCAATACAAGATTGCCTTTCGAACAAGGTACGGGCACTATGAGTTCGTGGTGTTGCCTTTTGGTCTTACTAATGCACCTGCAACCTTCCAAAGAACAATGAATGAGCTTTTTCGTGAATGGATTGACAAATTTGTTGTCGTTTATCTCGATGATATTTTGATTTTTAGTAAGAATCTGAATGAACATTGTGAGCACCTTTGACTTGTGCTAAATAAATTTTGTGAGGCAAAATTGAAGTTAAACCCGAAGAAGTGTGAATGGGCAAAGCGTGAAGTGTTGTACCTAGGGCATGTACTTAATGGTGATGGGATCAAAGCGGAGGATACAAAAATTGCAGCAATTCGAGATTGGCCTAACCCCCGCACTTTGACTGAGTTGCGGTCGTTCCTTGGGCTAACCAACTATTATCGGAAGCTCGTTAGACACTTCACGATAATTGCTGCGCCCCTTCGCAGATTGCTTAAGAAAGAAACAATTTGGAAGTGGGATTCAGACTGCACAACTTCATTTAAAGGCCTGAAGAAATGTCTCAGATTGCTTAAGAAAGAAACAATTTGGAAGTGGGATTCAGACTGCACAAGTTTATTTAAAGGCCTGAAGAAATGTCTGATTAAGTATCCGGTTTTGAAGGTTGTTGATCCTTCGTTTCCCTTTGTTGTCACAACTTACGCCAGTCAGTACGGGATAGGCGTTGTACTCCAACAAGATGATGGGAATGGATACAGGCTTGTAGAGTTTGTCCCGACGACTGTTTAACGAGAAGGGCGCCGCTTCTACGGATGAGAGAGAGTTGTACGCTCTCCGAGAAGCTTTATATCACTGGCGACACTATCTCTTAGGACGCCACTTCAAGGTGTACTCACATAATGAGACACTCCGCTGGTTTAAAACACAGGCCCGGATGACACCTAAACTGACTAGGTGGGCCGCTGAGATTGATCTGTATGATTTTGAGCTCAAGCCAGTTAAGGTGAAGTATAACGTTGTTGCTGATGCGCTAAGTCGAAGATCTGATTTCTTCGGTGCCATTGTAACATATTTAGTTGTGGGCACCGACCTACAAGAAGGGATTAGGAATGCGTATCCTACGGACCCTGTCTATGGCGCTATGATTAAGCGTGTGCAGGAAGCGCCAACAGAGTTTCCTAAGTATCGTGTGACGCAAGGACTGTTGTTTGAAAGAACCAATGTGCATGACAGGCTTTGTATTCCGAATGTGGAAGAGATTAAAAGTCTTATTTTAGGAGAGTGCCATGACACTGAAGGCCATTTCGGGTGGAAAAAGACTTACGCGAACCTTTTGCGTTCCTATATGTGGCCTCATGAAACCAGACTACATTGCGTATGTGCAGGGCTGTCAAGTGTGCCAAAGATATAAGAGGACCACGCAGCCTCCCCTTGGTTTACTTAAGCCTTTGCCTATTCCAACAGATCCAGGAGACTCTGTGTCTATTGACTTTATGGACACTAAGGTAAAAAGTAGGAATGGAAAAACGCAAGTGATGGTAATCGTCGACATGTTTAGTAAGTATGCTGTTTTTGTAGCATTACCAGCGGAAGCGAAAACGAAACTGGTAATCAGGGAGTTCTTTAACCATTGGGTAAAGGATTATGGACATCCCTTAACGATTGTGAGTGATAGAGATTCACGGTTCACGAGTGAACAGTGGCAGCAACTAATGATCGTCTATGGCTCCAAGTTGACTATGTCATCAGGTAGGCACCCTGAGACAAATGGCCTAACTGAGCAAATGAACAAGATTTTGCAGCAAACGTTGCGTATGTACATTCGTCCCGACCAGATTGATTGGGATGAACATTTGCCCAAAGTTGCTAGTGCCTATAACAACTCTGTTCACCTCTTTACATGTAGGACTTCGATGGAGCTGCATTTGGGATGGCGACCACGTAGGCCCATCGATCGCTTGAATCCGGACCAAGTACATAAGCTTCCACTAGGTACAAGTGAATTTGCGATACAGTATCAGAAGGATATTGAGAAAGTGAAGGAAAATATAGTAAAGGCACAACATCAGATGATAGAGCAGGCAAATAAGCACATAAGCCCTTCTCAATTTGCTGTAGGTGATCTGGTATGGGTGAAGTCTAAGGAGTTTGTTCCTGAAGAAAACATCTCTCAGAAGTTGCTACCCGCCTATAGAGGACCTTGGCAAGTTCTAGATGTGATTGGAGATGTGGATGGACCTTCCTATGTAATTGAAATTCCTCTGCATTTGCATACATATCCAGTTTTTCACGCTTCAAAGCTCTTACCTTGTGTGACGAACGAGTTATTTCCTAGTCGCAGACCAGTGATACCTCCTAGTATGGATGGGAAATATGACGTGGATAAGATTGTTGCTGAAAGCACTCTCCAAACTGGACGTAGAGGCAGACCCCAGCGACAATACAAAGTAAGATTTGCATATCAGGACCCGAGTGAAGATCGCTGGTTCACAAGAGAAGAATTAATCGAGTCTGCACCTCATAGTGTATCTGCTTATGAAAGAGCAAGAAGACGGATAAGTATATAGATGAAGGTTTTCTCAGAGGACTTCGAAACTATGCCGGCGAGAGTAAAAGGGCCTTCACCCGATTCAAACCCTGTTTGACGAATGCAGCATAGTGGGGTCACTCGCCCAGAGCCCCAACTCGTGAAAGCAGATCAAAGCACATGTTCTCTGGGTCAAAAGTCACATCCTAGCTAAGTAAAAGTCAATGTCAAAGGTCACAGTTGTGCCCCTAGACGAATAGTTGCAACATTTAGATATGGGAGTCACATCTGTTCATCCAGGGGGTGTGCAAGTCATGTTTGTTCATGAAGGAGATGTGTCTGTACGTGCAGTATGTCTGTCTGTTCGTGCAATACGTGTGTCTGTTCGTGCAGAACGTGTGTCTGTTCGAGGGCGGTCATCCGGCTTGAGATGCCATCGACGGAAGTGGAGAGTGTCCTGAGGGAGTCCTGTAGGGACTGGAGGATAGAAAGGAGGGATGGGGCGGGGGTATTCTCCCCGATGGCCCAACGAGTTCGCGGTGGATGTCCGCCACGGACTCCTCGCGGAGAGAGCTCATGTTGTGGCTTCAAGCACCTTCAGTCATTGGGGACGACGAAGGCGATGCGGCGGAGGAGGATGGAGCAGTGGAGGTTGCGGCGGCGGCGGCTCGTTGGGAGGTCTTGGTTTGGCGTGGTGGCATGCGGAGATGGGGGGGAACAATTCCTTACTTATTCACAGCTACGTAGCACCGTGTTCGCCCGAACGCGAACAAGCGCCCAAAACTCTCCGAATGCGAACATAAAACAAAAAAAAAAAAAAGTTCTCATAAAGTCTGAAAAAAATATATGTTATGTAAAATAACAATACAAGCAATTTTTGCCCGGGAGTCACGTTCAAATTTGTTGCCAATCATGAGTTAAAAATAAAAAACCGAAAAACAAATTAATTTTTTTATGTTCGCAAGTTGTTCGCGTGAACGTGACGGGGCGCGAACATGTTCGCTGTGCTACAGAGATTCACAATACAATAATTTCAAAAATAAATAAATTGCAAGGAACCTGACTGTTCACAGCTTGCTGGAGCGTTCAATTTGCATGCACATTCGTCACCACACACATAGGATAGCCTCTCACAAAGCCAAAGTCAAGATGAGATAGGAACCAGATAGCGCAGCTCTTATTATCAAATTCACATTATACAAGAGTATCTCAAGTTCAGAAGTTCAGCGCCAACAAAATGCAAGTCTTCTTCCCTCATTCATCAGCTTAAGACCTGGCTCAGCCAGCGTCACCCTTCAAATCACAAGTATGGCGCAAACAGGTAAGTATCCACCATATCCCATTTCATAACTTGTCTTCTCTCTCTCTCTATCTTCTCTCTCAAGATCCCTGTCATGGTTCCCTTCTCTCACTATGCATGCACACTCCTTTTCTACGAGAATCTACTCTGAATACCTCTCACTGTTATCCTACTACTAACCCCTCTACTACTTCTACTAACTCAGGCTAGCGCAGCTATGGCTTCCCTACAGCCAGTGCCCAGCTCATCTCCCTTCTGGCGCAGCTTCTTCTGTCAGCGCTCCTCCCTGCACTATAGCGCACAAGTGCCTCAGCACTTCCACGCATCAACGCCCATGGGAAATCTGCCTAGTGGAGAGGCTGCCTCGTCCTTTTTAGTGTTGGCCTCCCCTTGCGAGGTCTGGATTCAACCTGTCTTGGGTCCTGTCCCAGTCCCAACCTCTGTGGAGTGTGTCCCAGTACCTTTTCCTTCAGGGTCTGCTGCTGCTGCGGCCCTCGGGCCTGAATTTCGGATTTGGGGCCTGTATCTAGACTCTCCCTCTAACTTAATTCGCGACTGGGACTTAACCTTTTTACTTCTTTTGAATAGGTACACCTGTCCTGAATCCCTACTCCCTCCATCCAAGTGGTC